GTCTGTATGTCTGTATGTATGTATGCATGTATGTATGAATGTATGTATGTATGTGTGCGTGTATGTATGTGTGCGTGTATGTATGTGTGCGTGTATGTATGTGTGTATGTATGTATAGTTGGTTAAATAAACTTTTTTATATCTTTCTGGTTGAGATTGTTTTGTGTCCTTGAGAAATAAAGATTCTAAAAATAGACATACTTACATACATATATACACACCACATACATACATACATATACATATATATACACACACACACACATACATACAGACATACATACATACATACATACATACATACATACATACATACATACATACATACATACATACATACATACATACATACATACATACATACATACATAAATATACAGATACATACATACATACATGCATACATACACACCCTAACATACATTCGCATTAGGCGCCAGTTTTCACTGTTTTTCTAACACCAGATGAAGAAAAGACAACGATTCTACTACTATCGCTACCACTACTACTACTACTATACTACTACTACTACTGCTACTACTATTACTGCTGCTGCTGCTACTACTACTACTACTACTTTCGCTACTACTAGAACGACAACTGCGGCTGCTGCTACTACTACTAAAACTTCGAATGCTACGACTACTTAAACCCTTGCTACTACTACTGCTGTAGCTGAATCTACTACTACTACTACTACTAATACTGTTACAAATACTAGTACTACTACTACTACTTCTAAAAGTAAGAATAGTAGTAATGAAAACTGTAGTGATGACGACGACGAAGATGAAACAGAAGATGATGATGATGATGATGGTGATGGTGATGATGATTATGATGAGTTTTTGGAATGTTCATATAGGCCTATTTATGTTCTGTACATGTTTGTCGTTCCGTTCGTTCAGACCTGCTTGTTTGTTGACTATTTTGTTTATGTTAATTATTTTTCGGTTAAACCATAAAAAATAGTTTTTTTTATGTCACGTGGTTGTGGTCAGGGCATTTCCGTTTATGTTTCTATGGTAAACAAACCATAGAAACAATAATTGCATAGTAAATACATATTTTTTAATCATCATTGTCCCTACTACTACGCCATATTTGCTTTTATGACGTCATCGAAATAGCGCGCAAACGTTCGAGACCAGTTTGATGGTTTAATATTGGAGGTTAAATGATCGCGGAAAAATGAGTGAATGAATGAACGAATGAATGATTGAATGAATGAATGAATGAATGAATGAATAAATGAATGAATGAATGAACAAACGAACGAAAATGTAGGTAAATAAAGGAATGAAAATATTTTTAGATATGTGCCGTGTGTCTTTTTAATAACCAAAAGCAATCCGTCTTATATTGAATGACAGGATGAATAAATGAATGATTGATCGAGTGTACGAAGATTATATAAAGGAATGAACGAACGAATGAAAGAACGAATGAATGAATGAGTATGTAAAAAGATGAATAAATGAGTGTATGGATGAGAGAATGATTGATTGAATGATTGGTTAAATCAATGATCGAATGAAAGATATATAAATATATATTAATCAATGACTGTTTGTAGAAACATGATCTGATCAATATGTAAAATTCTTTTCATACAGAAAAAGGAATAAATAAACAAACGAGCCTACAAATTTATAGATAGATGAATGAATGAATTAGTTAAGAATGGTTGAATGAATGATCGACTGAATGAATAATGAATGAATAAAGGAATGCACGAGTAACCAAAAACCTATTTCACAAGTACACATATATTCAATTAATAAAACAAACATACAAATACAAAACCAACAAAATACACACCCCAAAATTATCCTCCGTCAAAAAATGACCCCCATTAAAAAAGTGATCCCCCTTTAAAAAAATGACCCCCTCTGAAAAAAATTCCGGCCCTCTTTAAAAAATTCTCCAGGTAATAGCAGCAGAGGGAGAGAACCAGGCGGCCTATGCTTTGAAAGAGGCTTCAGACATCATCAACGAATCATCATCGGCCCTTCAACTCCGCTACCTCCAAACTCTGAACACAATCTCTGCCGAGAAAAACTCCACCATCATTTTTCCACTACCGATCGAACTCTTGTCCTACTTCATGAACAAGAATAACTAGACAACTAGTAGAATGATTAGTGTGTGTCAGTGTGTGTATGTCAGTGTGTTTTTGCGTGTGTGTGTGTCAGTCTGTTTGTGCGTGCGTGTGTGTGGGAAAAAGAGTGTTGTAAATTTATTTTAATTGGATTTTTATTAAAAAAAAAACCACCAGTGTAGCGATGTTAATTATGGATGATGGTAATAACAATAATGACAATAATATTTATAATTTTTATTGTAACTGTCATCATTATTATCATCAATAACAACAACAACGACAAACAACAACAACAACAACAACACCGTCTTCATCATCGCCATTAGCAGCCCATCATCGTGAAACAGCTCAACCTTCCCACATTGTTACATCAATTGTCGCCATCAAAGACAACAA